CAACAATAGTAATATAGTTCAAGATGGTGGGGATGTCTGCAGCAGCAGCTTGGTGGAAACTTTAAAACTTTATTATACAGACTCAGATCAAAGGTTTTAAAAGTGACTCTTTGGTATCATATTTTCCAGAAAGCCTACGCAGTACCCATGCTAACTGGGGAATTCTGGGAACTGTAGTCCAGTAAAATAACTTCTCTGATCTCGGATGAGACTATGGGTTCATCTGAGTCTTGCAAGGCCTTTGCTGACTGGCAGGTTTGATTTGACGTTGTGTTGAACGTCAGCTCCCATGACTCTTGGCCACGTGGGTTGGGAGTGATGGGACTTATAGTCCAACACACCTGGGGAGCATTGATTTAGGGGGCACTGGCTCTAAGACCCTGGGCTGATCCATCACCCATAGTGAAGGCTAAGGGTTTGGGGCTGCAAGAGGCGACTAAGAACTATATTAGTCTATTTCAAGGCTCAGTGGACAAAAAGAGCTAAATTTAACAAAAACGAGACAAACAATCGCAGAGCAGATGGAAGGGGCTTTCCTTCCCAACCAGATCACTGGAGCAAGAGCTGTTTGAAGTTTAGGGGAAACCCCCAAGTGTAACAGCTGGTGTAGTTATACTGCCCCCTAATGGCCTGGGACAGCTTGCCATGTTCTCAATGTCCATTACGGTTGGTGGGTCAGAAGGCACAGCAATCAGTGGGGAGCAGACCTGGAAGTGGGGAGAGTGGATATTTTCACACACAGAAACACACCCATGCACACACAAGCGGGAAGACCAGGAACGGGCCAGTTCGGCAGGGCTGTGACACTGCTCAGACGCCTGGCGTCCAGGCTGCAAAGCTGCTTCTCCCCATTGCTAACGTCCTACTTCTCCTCCATACTCACGTCTAAGACAGGCTTGGCATTGTTATGCACGGATAAGATATGTGTGATCCCATGCTTCACCAAGTTTTCTCTGTCTTCGGAATCTGGAAGCAGATAAAAGCTGCTAAGACTCAGAATCAGCAATCAGAAGCTTCAGTCATAAGCCCATTTCTTACTGAAGTCATTAAACTAAAATGTCTGAGCTGTCCTAGACTCATAGAATAATGGAGCTGGAAGGTAACGTAGAAGGCCATCATGTTATTGCAGCCTAAAATAGCATTTGCCCTTTTTGGCAGCTGTATGGCACTGTTGGCTCATATTCAGCATGTGATCTACAATAATTCCAAGATCCTTCTCAGTCATAATATGAACCAAGTATCCCCCATCTTGTAACTGTGCATTTGGGGTTTTTTCCCTTTAGATGTAGAACTTAGCATTCATTCCTGTTCAATTTCATTCTGTTTTCAGCCCAGTGCTTGAGCTTATCAAGATCTTTTTGAATCTTGTTTCAGTCTTCCAATTTTGTGTCAGCCATAAAGTTGATAAGCATCCCCTGCATCCCGTCATCTATGTCATTAATAAAAATGTTGAAGAACACCAGGTCAGGACTGAGCTTTCTCCCAGTTTGAGAAGGAGCCATTGATAAGCTCTGAGTATGATTCTGTATCCAACAGTATATAGGTAAAGGTTCCCCTTGACCATTTTTGTCCAGTCGTGTTCGGACTCTAGGGGGCGGTGCTCATCCCCGTTTCCAAGCCATAGAGCCAGCGTTTTGTCCGAAGACAATCTTCTGTGGTCACATGGCCAGTGCGACTTAGACACGGAATGCTGTTACCTTCCCACCAAGGTGGTCCCTATTTATCTACTCGCATTTTTGCATTTTGCATGCTTTCGAACCGCTAGGTTGGCGGGAGCTGGGACAAAGCAACAGGAGCTCCCTCCGTCACGTGGATTCGATCTTACGACTGCTGGTCTTCTGACCCTGAAGCACAGGCTTCTTCAGTTTAGCCCACAGTGCCACCACGTCCCCTCCAACAGTATACACAAAGCGTTTAATTTCCCTAAAAGTTGTATTGCTCATTGCATTGCACTAGGTGCTGTACAAAGGGGGCCCTCAGCCTTTTGTCCTTCAGATGTTTTGGCTTTCAACTCTAAGAAGTCCAAGGTTTGTCTCAACGGTGATGCCACAATCATACAAGTTTGGCAAACACCCACTTAAGAGGGTGTTTGAAACATTGTTATTTAAGAAGACATTTTAAATAACTTGCAAAACCTAGACGCTTTTTATGCTGTGTTTTTTTTCTTGCACAATTGTATGTTGCATTTGACTGTTGTTTATAAACAACCGCACATACACATGTGCCTGTTTGTTGAGACAAGTTCATGTGTATATGCAGTAAATTTGAGCTGCTTTGCAGAATTCGTTTGGAAAGGGGGATGTAAGCCATTTTTAAAAAACGTTCCCCTTGACAATTTGTCCAGTCGTGTCCAACTCTAGGGGGTGGTGCTCATCTCCATTTCCAAACCACAGAGCTAGCGTTTTGTCCGCAGACAATCCTCCGTGGTCACGTGGCCAGCGTGACTAGATGTGGAACGCCATTTACCTTCCCACCAAGGTGGTCCCTATTGATCTACTCACATTTTTACATGCTTTCAAACCGCTAGGTTGGCGGGAGCTGGGACAAGCGATGAGCGCTCACTCCATCGCGTGGATTCGATCTTACGACTGCAGGTCTTCTGACCTTGCAGCACAGAGGCTTCTGCAGTTTAACCCACAGTGCCACCACATCCCTGTCATTAAAGCACACAAGCAAATAAAGCCCAGCAATGTTGATAAAAATCACATCTGCGGGATTAGGACATAAGTTTTGTGTTGTTTTTAACACCATGCACAGCTGAAAGTAGTCCGAGGAAGAAGAGGTTAGAAACAGGGCCTTCTGAGTTGTGGCACCACAACTGCAATGTTATCTGAGAAGCCAAATGTCTGCGCATACTGCAGAGCTCAGGAAAAAAATTGCTTTCTGAACGACAACTCCCAGAGTTCCCCAGCCAGCATGGAAACAGCCATACTGTCTGGTGGGCTCTGGGAATTATAGTTGCCCCAAACAATGTCTCCCAAGGCCTCCCCTGTTTGGTGTCTTCTGGGAGAGAAACGGATGGAAGACACTGACTTACCTCTGATATTTCCAAGGTACAGACCCTTCACGACCTGAGAAAGCAGAGGAAAAAAGAATTAATGCCAAGGTTACTGTACTTTGAGAACTGCTTCCCCCGTGGTGTGACTGGAAGAGCACCAAGCAGCCCTCCCGCATTAAGGGCACATAAGAAAAAGGCCCCTAAGATGTCCTTGCACATTCTTCCCCCATTCCACAAGGGAGGGATCAGAGCTTGGAATGTTGCAGCTTAAAATGGAACTTATTGTGCTACTCATTACCATCAGAGCTTTATTTGCACCCTCACTTGCTGCCAGTAGTTTGTTGGACTGGAAGAGACTTTTTCTGGGCTAAGAGGATTATATGGCCAGCAATTATAGTTCCTCCCCGCTTCTGATTTCAAAGAGGGTCCCGCCTCTCTGCTGAGTGCTCTTTCCCTCTCTTTCTCTGTTGGAGGCTGGTTGCTTGTTTGCTGTTGATCTGCTCAGTTAGTTGCCAAGCACATATGTACTAAAGACTGCAGCATGTCGAGCAACTGGAAGTAAATAAAAAAAATTTACATTTTCTACTGCAAATGTCTCAGAGCGAGTTACTGAGGCTTTAAGTGCCAGTTGAGGAGAAAGGGGTGGATGTGTAGCGATTTTACTCTGTACCTCTACTACTTAGCCAAGGGAAATTTACAAGAAATTCAACACTCTACAATAATTACTAACACAACATAGGATGCTGTCTTATATTGAATGGCATCGTTCCTTCAAATCCGCTAACTCGGTTTTGTTGACAATGGAGGGCAACAGCTCTTTGGGCTTTAAGCAGGAAGGGATTTTTTTATTTTTTATTTTTTGGTCTACCCTATCAAGTTGGAGACATGAGGGGGTTGAGGCTGCGACCTTCTGCGTGGAAAGCAGATGCTCCTCCAGTGACGTTCAGCCCTTCCACACAGGGACAAGCACCCTAAGCATAACCTGCTTCCCACCGTGACCTTCCAAACAAACACAGTTGACTTTAACTATAAGCAAGGGCCATGGCCTGAGATGTTCTGTGTTTCTATAGCAGCAACATCTACCAAACAAGCCGAGTCTTGGCTGCCGGACAGAATCCTGGGCACAAACGATGGCACTATTTTTAAACACTCACCAAAACTTGGGGGCATCTGAGCAAAGGGTTTGAAGCAAAGCAGGCCTTCGGTCTCATTCTTTGCTTCTGAAGAGCACGGCGTATTTATAGCATCTGCACCACATATTTCCCCCCTTCTAAATAATTAAGGTTAGCACTCTCTGCTGGATCAAACTTGGCCAGCGAAGTTTTCCCCATTCCTGAATGGGAAAGTACGGCTCCTACTCCTAAACCAGTTACGTCATTGGGTTTAAATAAAGACATAGGCTTTTTAGCACACATTCCAGCAGATACAGTGATCAGAATACTGCAATGGGGATTGGGGGTTCTAGTCCTCACTGACCTCACAACCTGATATACTTCACAGGACAGCTCTGCAAATAAAATAGGTCTATACAAACAGACACACACACACACACACACACACAGAGAGAGAGAGAGAGAGAGAGAGAGGAAAGGCAGAATAGAAATAACTGTACTAGTAAATGATCAATAAACCAAAACTTTCATAATGGTATTTGCAGCTAGAAAAGTGTGGGTTGTTTAAAAAGGGAGGGAAAAAAAACATAACTGAAACCCCCAGGTTCATTATTCTATGCTTGGGCTCAAAAAAAACACCAAAACCCTTGAAGGCAAGATGATAACAGAAATGCACACAAAGTCACGATGACTTATCACACCCCCATCAGCTGTTGCTTTACCTACTGGCAGGGCACGAGGTCATATTTCATGCTAGCCAAGAAACAGTGATCACAAGTGTCTCTCAGACCAAGGGTGGAATCAAGAACCAGCCTGCCTTAGGGGACCCAATTCAAAGGTCAGCTCTCCTCCCAGCACGTGTTTTCAAGGAAGACCACCATCTCTTTGCCAACAGCCCCCTCCCCACAATTATCTGCAAAAGACAGGGACAGGCTCCGATCTGAATCGGCATCTCCATCTAGGTGGAGGGGAGGGAATCTAATTTTAATTCCATGAAGCTGTGCCTTTCTCAGTTATTTGGGGACAAGAGTTGTAACTGATCTCGCTGATCAGGCATGCGGGTGTGTGGGATGAGCTGAAAAGCAGAAAAAGAGGACTGGGGGCAAACCATTGCTAAAAAGTATTTCCAATCAATAGGAGATTGTCATGAGATTGCCATGGGGGAGAAAGTTAAACCTGCATAAAACCAGACTGTCTAACTGGGGGAAGTACAGTGAGAGAGAGAGAGAGAGAGACTGGATCATTTTCTCTTTCTCCTAGCTGTAAACCATCTGGTCTTGAACCCAAACCAGGTAATGTCCACCGCACAGCTATTCCTTCTTCTATTGACCACATTAATAGTAACAATATCTAGTAACGCTAGTAATAATATCATTATTTTTAACAGGGATGTTGGCACGTTCTTTGCGTTTGAGTCCCAAGTCTGAGTCTTTGGTGCCAAGACCCAGGACCTAAGTCTCAACTTGGAGTCCTTATTTAAAAAACGAGCTTCTCCCCCCCCCGAAAGAAAGGAGGGGTAGATGGGTTTTTTTAAGTCATGAGTTGAGTTGTGAATCATTAAGGGGGGGGGAATGAGTCCAGTCTGAGTTGAGTTACCAGTGCAACTTAACTCTGACTTGAGAGCATGTCCTGCGGCTTGACTCCCCATCCCTGGTTTTTAACAAGAACAATTCAGAATTTGATACAAGAGTTTCTTTATCTGAAACTAGAAAGCCCAGTTTCCCGGTTTATTGCCGCTGCCCTGCATCTCTCCCGCTGCTTTTCATTCTTGCCAAGTTTCAAGCCACAGCGAGGGGTGTACCTTGCTCATCCCGGTTCCCATGGCAGCCTTTAGTTCGGAGTAACTCCCCTGACACTCCTTGATACATGCACGCACAAAAAGGCGCGCACACAGCCGTTCCCTCCGGTTTCCCCTGGGTAATTGGAGCACTGCAAAAAAGGACACAGAGAAATGTTGTGATTAGAACTTGCTTTCCTCCCCATGACATTTCAAAAACTGAATTGATCAGCTGGGTGTGTTTACTTACAGGGAAGTGACCCCGGGGCAGGGGGAGAAGGCACGCGGGGATAAGGGGCATGCAGACGGGCAGGAAAGCTCACGCCACTTACCAGCTCAGCTGGCTCTCCAATGAGGCCACAGGGTGCAGGAGACGGCCCAGCGCAGGAAGCAAGAGCTAATATTTAAGGGTCAGAGCTCTACGCCAGGCGTGGCAGGCAGGGAAGCGAACCTTCTTTTTCTGATCTCCAGATCCCCAATGCCACCAGTTGTGACACAGGATCCCTGGTCAGTTGCTTACAGACTCCAGTGTGGCATCATGCCCCCCCTCACCAGATCTCTACTCTATGAGTCACCGTGCTTCAGCTGCTGCTGCCAAGGGAAGTATCTAGTACACTGATGCAATGCAGAGATCTGCCTTATATACACCCTTCAAGGTAAAAAGAAAAAACACCCAGCAACATAGCCTTAAACAATCTAGAAGATAACCTGTGACAGCAATGTCAGTCAGCTTGCATCTTTCCTCCAGTTCAGGTTTATTCTGCTGTCACGAGTGAAGTTCAGAGCTTTTGTTCAGACTACATCTCCCAGAATTCACCAGCTGGCACAACAAAGGACCTTAGGGGCTGGGGGATTCTGGGATTTGTAGTGTCAAAGAGGGGGGGAGGGCATGCCCAAGCTCTGAGCCAGACTTCTTGAGATGCTTCCAGATTCCCATCAAAAGTGTCTGTTCTTCTTAGCTGCAATCTGTTTTCTCAATCCCATTTTGGGACTCCAGCGTGGATTTCTTTAAAACAGAGAAGAGCAGAAGAAGATCTTTTGGTCTGAGCAAGGCTTCACCTTCTCCCTCCCACTGCTTCGCTATTTCTGCGTTTCTGTCAAGCAGAGTTAGAAAGCTTACTGGGAAACAGGCATTCAATCTGGAGAAGCAAGAGCTATTTTCAGGCACGCTGCTCCAGGCATGAGAGTTACTCTGAATCTAACCACCTCCTTCCACCTCTCAGTGATTCTGGATGCCGCAAACAACATCTCCCAGTGATGCTTCCTCCGAGCGCTATAGAAAATGAATCATAAAACACTGGACTTCCTTCTTCAGCCAGGCAAAAAAAATCAGTCGATACTAAACCTAAGCATTGCTCATAGTGACTCCCCCATTTAGGATCTGCACAAAGTTTTTGTCAAGAAAGGAAGCTGTGGCCTTTGCTTTGCTAATCCTGAGCAGAGCTATCAATGACAGGACGTTTGGAGGTCATTATTTCATTGCTGTTGTTTAGTTGTGTCTGACTCTTTGTGACCCCATGGACCAGAGCATGCCGGGCCCTCCTGTCTTCCACTGCCTCCCGGAGTTTGGTCAGATTCATCATTAACAAAGTTTTTGTCAAGAAAGGAAGCTGTGGCCTTTGCTTTGCTAATCCTGAGCAGAGCTATCAATGACAGGACGTTTGGAGGTCATTATTTCATTGCTGTTGTTTAGTTGTGTCTGACTCTTTGTGACCCCATGGACCAGAGCATGCCGGGCCCTCCTGTCTTCCACTGCCTCCCGGAGATTGGTCAGATTCATCATTCTTTCATAGGGTGACTGTAAACTGGAAGCCACTGGAAGCCACATCACAACAATAAAGACATGCGGTGCTCACGCCAAGCTTTCATGCACACGCACTGAAGGAGGAGTGGAGGGAGGGAGGCTTCCGTCCAGCAATTCATTTAATATGACACCTTTTATGAAAAAGCCAGTAGACAACCAACACCTTTATTATTTCAAGAAAATCTGTCTTCTTTGTTTTCCTCTTCATGGTAGCTTCAGCCTTTGGGAAATGACAACTCCACATTAGTCGTCAATATATGTACATCTGTTGCCTACAAACCATGGCCAATGTAAGAATTACAGGATGTTATACCACATTTGGAGATACCCACTGTGGTGTAGTGGATAAGAGTTCAAATCCCCATTGAGCCATGGAAATTCATTGGTTGGTTGGTTGGTTGGTTGGTTGGTTGGTTGGTTGGTTGGTTGGTTGGTGTGTGTGTGTGTGTGTGTGGGTGGGTGGGTGTGTGCGTGCGTGCATGTGTAACTGGTAAAACCACTCCTTAAACATCTCACTTTTTGACTTAATGACACATAACAACATAACCATGTTTGGTCACTGACGTATGTGAACACATGGAGAATTACTAAAAATTCTGGCACAAGCGTGAAAAGGACAGTTTTGATTTTGAGGTGCTCAGCAACCCCCTCCCCTCTGCCAGCACCTGAGATGCCAGTTTCTCTATTTTGGATCACACTGCAAAATGGGGGACGAGCACTACAAAGCACTTGTAAGACTATTGCAATTTGAGTTGTAGCAAACCCTGCTGGAATTTGGATTGGAGGAGTCAACTAGGAGATCCGACTTGATGGCGAAAACCCTGTCGCTTAGTTACACGTGCAGAAGGCGTAACTTGCAGTGGCTTCTCACAGACAATGACCAAGTCTCTGCTGTGACTTTCAGACATGTGCCAAGCCAGGAGACAATGGAAGAAGCCTTTTACAGGTGTAACTATGCAACAGAATTTTGGCCAATGTACCACTTACTTTCATTTGAGGATCATTGAAAAATACAAAGTTTCAACTCATACAAAATGCTGCAAAAGTAAATGTGAAACTTTGTCATAGGTTTTGAGGGGATATCAAATCCCAAATGAAGAGAAAGAAAGGCAGCTAATTTCCATAGGTCTTAAGATCCTCCAATATAATATAATTTTACAGAAAGAGAGACCATGAGAGACTGACAAGAAGATATGGAGGCTGGGATTACTTACACCTTCAGTTTCAAAAAATGTGTGTGTGTTTTGGTGTTAAGCACTGAAGGGGGTGGTATACAAACTATTTTAAAAGGTGGACCACTTTGAAAGGAGCAATTCACCTTTTGAGTGTGTGCTGGGGACAACCATTTTTATAGGCTGAAAGTGGGGTAATCTTAAGGTTTGAGAGATTTGGAAAATAGCCTGGAGGCAAAATGGGCAGTCCTAGGGCAGAACTATGTGACTCCGGAAGAGACGGAACAGGACCAATTTATTCACTTACACTCTTGTTCAAAACAGGTCAGGATTGCATTACACTTTATCTAGCTACTGGCAAATTGGTTATCATTATGACCATTCTTGAGCTCAGACACATGTAATGAACATACAAAACAGAGATCCTTCAGGAAATGCAGTACTCGTCAAGAGACGGATGGCTGGTGCACACACCTAGCATCTCGATCATTAAGGCCCAGGACAATCTTTCCAAAACAGAAGGGGGATTACGTTTTCATTGTAGGTGTTCTTGAGCAATGCTTCTGCCAAAAGCTGAAAAGCAACCACTTTATTGTGGGCATGTACTTCTTGATCTATCACCAAAGATCAAGGCTTATCCTGTCTCAAATACTGGGTTGTTTCCAGATCACAAGAATTAGCTTCCACTAAGATCAATTCCATCTTCTCTTTTCTCTTCTACCAGATATTGGACATCATCATGGATACACTATCTTTGAACATGGCAGCTCTAAACAATGATGCGGTTACATCCAAACCAACCATATTTCTTCAGCGCATCTTTTCCCATTCCTTTTTAGTGTGAACGATCAGCTATAACAATCTGCATTTTTGCTTCCTATTATGTGACTGAAGCATTCCAGCTTTCTATATTTCATACGTTCTTGATCTTTCTTCATTCATCTTAGTATTTCTTCACTGGTGATTTCTTACGATCATATTAAGGGCAGAAGTACCTTTAAAATGATTGTAAAACAGACTGGATCTGGGGAGACCTAAAGTTTCACATTTAAGTTATCTTGCAGAGACCTGTTTTGTTCATCCAAAGGTTTGCAATAGATGGCTTAATGCTACAGGGTTTGTTTGTTTTTGTAATTCATCCTTATACACCCTGCTATACATTTGAGAAAAAACACAGGGGTTGGTTTTTCCGGCAACAGGCCTGCCAGCAGGCCAGTGTTCATGCACCTTCTTACTACATTGCTGTAGCAGAAATTGGGCCAATGTGTCACATGCATGGCATGCTGTAACATGGGGCCAGCCTCTAACCTTACAGACACCACTGCAAACAAGTACCTGATCATTTGTGATAGACTGCCTGCAACTGTATCTGTCTAGTAACCCTGCCTCATGTGCATATAAGAGGGAGGAATAGGCTTCATTTCCCCCTAGGATTCTCTTCTGCTGCCCTAGCTCAGCAACTCTAAGCATAAATGAAAAATGCATCAACATATGACAGATGCTTCCAGATATTAGGACCAAAGAATATACACTGGGCAATTCAGCAAACAATCTACCAGCCCCACAACCCAAAATTTTAGTTATATATAAAGATAAATAATTCACCTTTTATTTATACTAAATAAAGAAACATTCACAATGTACACTTATTTAAAGGGCCACTTTTAATCTTGCTGTGTATGTTTTTTCAGGCTTTAATAAAACAGTGTATTTACTCTTCCCAGGAAATCATCTCCTGTTAGTGCAATTCTTGCTATCAACCTCAACTGAGAAGCCAGAGCTTAACCACAGCATACTCACAAGATGGCCTTACATACAGAAAGCATCCTTGAATTTTCAGGTATATCTATATTTATTAAGATTTCTCTCAAATGAGGGGTTTCCCCCACATACACAGAAACATAAGGTCAAACAGAGATGACAGAATAACTTCAGGATCTCAGAATCGAACAGAACCAGCAATCCCTGGTGTACTTTTACTTTTTCCATTCATTCTTCTCGTAGTCCCACTTGGATGACATTCCTTGGATTGGGTTAACTTTCATGTCCAGCATCTTTTTTGTTTGCATGGCCTTCCATTCATCCGACATAGTGTGGGGGTAAGGAGGCAAAACTGCAAATGGATGAACAACATAAAGTAACTTAAAAGACGAGCATGATTCATCAGAAGTAAGAATCACAGCTTTACTTCAAACCAAAGTTGATCTCAGAAGAACTCATCTGCTCCAAGATTTAAACAAACTAGAGCAGGACCTCCCATACTGCCATGGTTTCACTACAGTTTAAAAATATTAAAAGAAATAAAACCCTAGAAATACGCATTTTCACAATCTATTTACCAGAACTGGCCATGGTAAAGGTAAAGGTTCCCCTTGACAATTTTTGTCCAGTTGTGTTCGACTCTAGGGGGTGGTGCTCATCCCTGTTTCCAAGCCATAGAGCCAGCGTTTGTCCGAAGACAATCTTCCATGGTCACATGGCCAGTGCGACTTAGACACGGAACGAAGTCGATTCTCTGGCTGCAAGTCGAATCTAAATTTTGCAGCCAGAGAAGTCTGTAACTCGAAAAGTCTGTAAGTCGAGCCGTCTGTAAGTCGAGGGTCCACTGTATATTTGCCAGAACTGGCCATGAGAGGGAGCCAATTCTGGTAATATAGGACATAGTGAAAATAACATTTTCTGGATTTTTCTTTTACCATTGTATATATAGTGTTTGCTATTATCCGCGGTTTTCTGCATCCATGGGGGGCTTACAACCAATCCCCTGTGGATACAGGGGTCCTACAGTATTCAGGAATAACAAACACTATCTAATATACTTAAGTTATACATGAGAGGGAGCCAATTCTGGTAATATAGTACATAGTGAAAATAAATTTTTTTAGATTTTTCTTTTAACATTCTATATATAGTGTTTGCTATTATGCATGGTTTTCTGCATCCATGGGGGGCTTGCAACCAATCTCCTGTGGATACAGGCGTCCTACAGTATTCAAGAATAAAAAAATACTATCTAATATACTTAAGTTATGTAATTCATACATTTAAAAATCAGTTTCATTGTTTCATTATAGTTACTTCCTTTGCTCATCAGTTTTTGTAATTGTTCCAAAAACTAAGAAGCTTTTAAACTTAAAAAAGTTATCCATTAATTGACAATACCAAACCAAAGCAAATCTTTTCTAAGCAGTCAAAGGCTTAATACTAACCACAATGGATCCACAATTTATCCAGTTTAAAGTTCTGCTCATGAAGGAAATCTGCAGTTTAACCACCACTCCCTAACAGTGAGGTAAGAATCCTCACCAGAAAACTAGACCACAAAATTTTGTAACAGAGCATTTATATTTGCTCTTGTTCTTACATCAAGGTAAGATACAACGTATATGAACAGCCATAAGCTAAAAACATTCTTAGAACTATCAGCAAAACAAGTAAAAGCAAACTTTTATCCATTCAACCTTTGAGTTGAGGATATGGGGCTCCTACTGTAATTTGATATCTGTGATTTATAGAGCGTAATGGCCATGAGAAGCACCTGTGGGGTTTCTCAAGCTCCATAAAACACAGATACCATATAATAAGTGAAAGCACTTTCTGACACACCAGACCAACTTCTCAACAGAAATATGAACAGTAATCCCAATTATTTAAGTATAATAAAGACCCAATGGCTGAAATCCTGTTCCTTAGTGTAGAGCTATGAAGCACACAGAGGAATTTACTTACCAAATCACTATTAATTCATTGGGCCTACTCTAGTTGCAACTTCCTATGCTAAGCAGCAGGATTTCAGCCTTTGTCTAAGAGAAGAGGGTGAGCAACTGTGGCCTTTTAGACAGTCTTGAACTGCAAATCCCATAATTCCTTCTCATTGGCTATGCAGGCCAACACTGATGGGAGTTGTAGGACCAAAACATATGCAAGGCGAGAGCTGCCTCTCTTGCTCTTAGGCACTGAATCTTCATCCAAGTGGAACCACAACATTATCTGACCACTTCCCATAATACAGAGATGTTAGTGAAGTTGTAGCACAGTTTTTGCATGCACAGCTGGGAAGTGGTGCCAGAAGTCTGTATAGAGAGTGACTGAGTGACACTTGGTGTCTGGAATAAAGTGCATATGGATGGAGGCTGGCAGAAAGGAGGAGAGAGGGAGAGGCTATCCAGAATGATGTGATAGGAGTGAACTGGGGAGAATTTGCTGGGGACTGGAGTTTGAGGGGACAGATAGGAACTCTGGGACAGGATCCATTTCAACACATGTGCAGAAATGTATTGAGATTTTTAATGTAAAGACTAGAGATGGGCATGAACTGCAGGTTCAGTGCAGTTTGCTTTCCTAGCCAAACAGCTGATCCGCGGTTTGGCACCCTGTCTCCTCCAAAGGGCACCCACTCAAAGGCAGAGACTGTAGGAGGTGGGGCAGGACGCTGCCACTGAGTGGGTGCCTGCTGGAGTGGTGGGGGCACCGAATCACTTACTGTATCAGCTGTTCAGCCAGGATACGAACCACACTGAACCACCAAACCAGTGGTCTGTACCCATCTCTAGTAAAGACCTATCATTTATTACTGTTGATAGCCTGTGCAAGGCATACAAATGGTAAGAATCCTGTTAGAAAATTGCACTGCCTAACTTACCAGCCATGCTACAGGTGTGCACCTAGCAATGTGGCTACTGGCCTGTTAGTGGCAATTCCTCACAGCAAGTTAGGCAATTTAACTTACTAGCACATGAATCACTCTCCAGTTTCTGGCCAGCATTAATTTGCTAGAGAATAGGACGAAACTACTGTAACACACCACACTTTTATAATTAATAGCATGTTCTCATTTACAAGTACATCTGATGCTTGCTCACTGCCAACAAAGGTGTAGTAGAACAGAACCTAAGCAATACAAAAACCACATGGAGTAAAATCATCATGATTGTAAAAATCATGGTGGCAGGAGCATTGTGAAAGAAATATGTGAAGGTGCTTGTGTAAGGACTGGGTGATACATAGCAATAGCTGAGGTGGCGATTACCAGTTATAGATCAGGTTCTGCCCTGATCTATAAGCCTGCGTGCAGCTCTCTACCTGCCCTTGAAACCACTGTGCTAGATCACAAAGAGAAAAGACAAGCACTTCACACTGGATGTATTTTGTTGGTGCTGCTCTTATGGGTAAGATGAGCTAGAAATGCCTTTTACTTACCATACATCTTCGCCCAAATCATGAAAAGTCCGCTGAAAGATAACAGAAGCAGCGCAATACCCCAAGCAGTCTTCCATTCAGGTACGTATGCGTATAACTCAGCCAAAGTATGAGGGAATTTCATGTTGTACACTGGATGAAAAGAAAGAAAAAGAACAAAGAAATCAGCTACCCTATTTTCTACCAGAGTGACATGGTCCTGAAATATAGCCACAGAACAGCTAGAATTGTATAGGTTATTTTCACTAGGATAAATACAACAGTGGAACTCCTAGCAGCAAACTACTGCTATTCTCCCTTGTTAAAGATTAACTCACGTGGCTGGAGCAAGACAAAGGATACCGGCAGAGAATTGTTAACTGGAGTCATTCTGTGGCGGCAATTTGTGCCACTATACATCCACCGGCATCAACCACCAGCAGGATTTTTTTTTGTCCCCAAGTCCAGCAGCTGGATTCTCTGAACACTGAAATCAGTCAAGCCATTCCTCTTCCCTTGTCCCTCTTCCTTCCTCCTGCTCCACCATCAAAACCCTTACATGCAATCTTCTCCTCCGCTGTGAGAGCACTCCAAGGGCCCTTCTCTTTCTCTTTCAGGGCCTGCTGCTCAGGAGTAAGAGGAAGCTCTATGTCGGAAGGTGGAGTGAAGGGAAGCACAGGAAAGAGCGGGGTGTCCTCATTGCGTGGAATGTACATCATTGTTTTCGCAAGGTCTGTGGGACAAGGAAGAAAAGCGGCCTGAAAAGTCCTTGACTAAAGACAAGCTCTCAGAACAGAACTAGAAGCACAAACATTTCTGATCAGATGCTTTTCCACTACTTGGCTCTAATTAAAGGTAGAGGCAATGAAGCCAGAAAGGAAGCCATCTTTAACACACCAGCTAGTCCTTCGAACAACTAGACAAAAAGGTCTGCAAGAAAAATATTTAGCAGTCAAATCTACAATTACAAGGCCTTAGCGATAAAATACATAACAAACTTGAATTATTGTTGTTGTCATATGCCTTCCACGAAGCAGTGCTCAAAAAGCAATTTACAAAAACACCTGTAATACCACATACAATTATACGATAACATTAATAAATCATAACACACACATCATGACAGTAGAATTAACGCAAAACATTTTTATATTAAATAAGAACAGCATATGCAAATTGGTCAAGTACTATTATTGGCACTAGTATTATGAAATCTACTGAATAGGGCATATTGAGAGAGAGAGAGAGAGAGAGACAGAGAGAACCCCTTGTTTTCAACTTTAAAAAAACCCACATAGCAAATACCCTCCTGCCAGCTTCTAAGCAGCAGAGCACTAACAGAAGCAGGATGGAAAAGCGACACACACACACACACAAACACACACACACAAGCATACTCATCTTCAGGGAACAGGGTAACTTTTATGGAAGGGAGACCAGCCCAAAGATATTTGCATGCACTCAAATTAACAAGAACTCCCTGGCGATGGCTTCTAGGAGCAAGGACAGGGCAGAACCTGTGAGAACTACTAAGCCTACACTCAGACCAGCCCCATCATTTCTTCTACCCACAGCAGCAGCCGCAAAGCTCCCTTCTGAAGGCTTCTGAGGTCTGGACATGACAACTGGGAAAAAAATACAAGGCCTGTTGGTAACAATACTCTGTCTTTCACGCATGAGGAAACAAAAAGGTGGTTCAAGCTTGTAACTCAGTCATGACAACACCTCATCCTTTATCACTTTTATCTGCTTTTAAAGATCTGCTGGAATAGGACATTGCTGTAGAGTGCTGGGGCATGCTAGACCAATGAAGAATATGGTTTTAGGATAGTCAAGCCAAGATGATTAGACAAACACCTTACCATGCCCATGAGCCCTAAGACAGACTGAAGAAGAAATGAACCGCCTGCCCAGATGGCTAAATCCCCTTAAAGCCAACATCCTGAAAGACAGAAAGGTGAAATATTGTGAAGAGCAGTTTGCATGAATCTAGCAAGTATAGTTTTTCACCCATTCATTGCATCCTGAAAATTACCATACCAAACCGGCGTAGGTCCAACAACCTTAACAAAAAATTAAAATACACCCCAAATATTAGCAATAGAGATGGGGGGGTTGTATATGAAAATCCCCACACCAGCTAGACTTAACGAGGGGCTGGCCCATCCACTCACGTGTCCGGTGGTGGCAACAGCCTCGCTCATCCTTCCAATTGCCCCCAGAGCTCCGCTGTCTTTCTGCTCGCCTGGCCACTCCAGGCACTGGGAGGGAGGATGAGTCTCCCTGCACTGCTGCCGAGTGGGAAGAGAGCAGAGCTCCAGGAGCGATTGGAAGCATAAACGAGGCTGTCGCCGCCACCTGACACTCGAGTGTTAAGTCCAGCTGCACAAGGATATTCGTATACGAATAACCCTATCTCTAAATAACAATTAGGGGGAGAAATGCAAATTGAAATTTAATACTGCGTGGCAAGAAGGTGCAACCATACCACACAGCCTCAACGTGTATCTCAAGTATGTACGTACTTACCAATCAGATGTTCCCTGCCCCCATGCTTCCAAAAGAGCCCCCACCTCACAAGAAAGCTGTCACATCAACAAAAGAGCAGGTTAGGAAATCTAAAAATTCCAAATGGGAAGAGACACAAATAAAATGTCCAGGGTTGTGGGAAGATCGGATAAAACCCCTTTTTCTAGGCTAGTACTTGTTTTTAGAAACCTGTTCCAGCAAACCACCTGCAATTTTATTTATGCTTGGCTTCTGACAGTTCCATAGGTATGTCTTAGATATGCTGATCATCTTTTGAAATGAGTAAACACGCAGAGAACTGCAGCCTCTAAAGTCTCCTAACAGACTCTGTACTGAGCCTTTCTCCTTAACAGAAAAATCAGCAGGTAAGGTCCGATTCCTAGTGTGACATAGTGGATAGTCATGGATTAGGATTCAGGCAAACAGGGTTTGAATCTTCAGTTGGCAAAGGAAACTCATCTTAATTATCTCATTTACCTTGAAAACCATATTAGGTTCATTAGAAGTCAGTTCCAACTTGATGGCACAGAAAGGCAGTTTTCCCTGATATTTAAATAACTGCTTACTAATTGTTATATAGGGTGCCTCGACTTACACATGTCCCGATTTGATTTACGACCATTTCGAGTTACAACCAGCTCCACAAAATTTTGCTTTGACTTGCGGCTGGAGCTTCGAGTTACAACCAGAAAAAGGCAGGGGAAAAAAGTCGGGAAGTTCAAATTGCTAACTTCTGGTAGGCGAAGAGGCTGCTTCTTTGTAGCTCTTTCGCCCGAATAGTTAAGAGAGTGTGGGATCGGAGGAGGCTTTGGACTGCTTACCAAGGTAAGGTGCTGCTTTCTGCTTTTTAAAAACTGTTCTGGGTGGGTTTGCAGTGTGCTTTTGGGATGGGGGGTTATGTTTCTGTGCTGTGATGTGTTTTGGGGGGTTTGTTTGTTTCCCCCATTTCTGATGGGTCTTGTGGGGGTTGCTTGCTTTCCAGAGTTTTCCTCCCATTTCTGACAGATCTCGGGGGGTATGTTTGTTTTTTGGTGCTTTGCTTTCCCCCCATTTCTGATGTGTCTTGCATGCTTCGCTTGCTTTTCGTTTTGCTTTTCCCATTTCCAACGTGTCTTGCATGCTTCGCTTCCTTTTTGCTCTGCTTTTCCCCCATTTCCAATATGTCTTGCATGCTTCCCTTGCTTTTTCCTCCATTTCCAACGTGTCTTGCATGCTCTGTTTGCTTTCTTCCCCCCGCCTTTGGCCGGAAGGGATTAATCGCATTTCCGATGGGTCTTGCATTGATTTTTTTGTGTGTGATTTTTTTCTTCAGGCAGAACCAATTAATTGCATTTCAATGGGAAATGGTGCTTTGTCTTACGACCATTTCGAGTTACGTCCATCTTTTGGAATGGGTTAATCTGTAAGTCGAGGCACCAATGTAGTTCACAGCACTGCTCAAAAACTACTGAGTAATTTGAAAGCTAAAAACCTGACTCCAATAAGAAGGTCCTCAGACAGGAAATCATGAGGACATTTCAATTTATTCCAAAACAATTCCCACATCTAATCAGAATAACAGTGTAATTAGCTTCTAGGGTACCTGTTCAAGCATCTTTGAAACTTGATTGAGGAAAGTTAATTTCTGAACTACAATTCTCAAAATCCCCTATTTAGCATACTACATGTCATGCTCGGCTGGGAAGTTCTAGGAATTGTAAACTGTTCTAAGGTCTGTTCTGAAAGCACGAATGTGTCAAGTTTATTACTTTCAGCCTAATCCAGACCATATTCCCTGAAATAAGATCGCACCGGGTTAAATAAGGCTCAGTGCCAGGCACATCTTCAGAGAATTTCACTCCTACTTCTTTCAAAGAGGAAACATTACAGAGCTCAGCTTGCTTCTGGGGAATGCATGCAAACAATAGGTCTACCAAGTCACATTAGTTTTGTTGGGTTTCCAACTGGGCAACTAGGGAGAGGACGGCACCTTCCTCCCCCAAGTCCCTGCGTGTCTATTCAGAAATAACAAGCGCTGAAATTCTAGGCATTTCTGATGAACCCAAAAGAAGATGCAGGAACTCCACCTTACTGACTCCCAAGCAGGCAGGCACGCACAAAAGGCTGCAGAAAGAAGGCTGCGGTCCCTTTCACACTTCTGTGGGGCTTTCCTGCAGCTCAGTGCCACCGGACTTCCAAACACAGGCAGGCAGGCAGGGACGCCCCCAAAATACAGGAGTCAAACCCCTTTAGAGCAGTGAATCTTAATAAAGGCACAGGAGAGGCCTGTATCAAAACCCCTCCTCATGTCCTGAAGGCCTGCCCTCCCGTCCCCTTCCTCACCCTCAGGCGGGCCTGGCTGAGGGGAAAGCCTTTTCAGAAGATCCTTTGGGGGGGGGGAGGCAAGGGCGGCCAAACTCCCACACACACACACACACACACACTCGAGGGGGAACGGTCGGTCCAACTACGGCTTTGGACTACAAACCCCATCATCCCCTCTGGAGGGATTCGTTGCCTCAGACAACGAAGGGACACACACACAAAAGAACCAATCTGAAGTCTTCCTCCCTTGGCTCTGGACCCATGCAATACGTATTCTCAAGCAGTGTATAAGTGGTACAGTGTTGATTAACTGCAGTGGATATGCCACTCGTACCCTGAACCTGGGTGCAAGCGCTAGGTCCTGTACATCAATGAAACCTCAATTATATAGGCTCCGTTGAAGGGATGCTGTGTGTTCTACGCATGCAGTAGAAGGGGAGCACCTCCACAATTTAAGGGTCTGAAAGGAGGGAAGCAGGATGATTTGGGAGAAAGGCAAGAGTCCGGCCTTCTAGCTTTCTACTTAAATGAAGTTCTAGACATAGGCAAGGGTTTAAAAAAAGAGAGAGAGAGAGAGACCGGAAACCGGAAACGCAAGGCACGATGGGAGAACAGCGCAGAGCAGTTCTCCTCCTCCTCCCCTCTCCACGCCGCAAAGGACGACGGGATAGAGAAGAGGGCGGCTGCATAGATCTAAGAATCATGTAGAGTCGCCCGCGCAGCAGTCTCCACCCGGAACTTCCGGGTTTCCACCGAAAGCCGAACGGATCGCTGGAGAAGATGGAGCCGGGTTCGTCTGCGCAAGCGTGTCAGGCAAAAACCAAAGGGGGGGAAAGAATATCTTGTTGCACCTTAAAGGGACGTGATGGTGCTGCGGGTTAAACCACTGAAGCCTCTGTGCACTTTATGGGGTTAAACCACTGAAGCCTCTGTGCACTTCATGTATTTTATGTATTTATTTATTTGTTTATTCATTCATTCATTCTATTTATACCCCGCCTATCTGGTCATTTCGACCACTCTAGGCGGCTTACAACATAAAAACATAACAAATATAGGAAAAAAAATTAGCTATTAAGGTGAGCTTTCGTGGATCAAGTCTCACTTCTTCAGACACAGGGAATTTTTATGTGCGTGTCAGGCAAAACCGAAAAGGGGGAAAGTATATGTGTGTGTGTGTATCTCTCTCTCACACGCACACACACACATATATATAGTATACATACACATACACACACACATAAAAATTCCCTGTGTCTGAAGAAGTGAGACTTGATCCATGAAAGCTCACCTTAACAGCTAAAACATATAAGGTGCCACAAGGTGTTTTTGTTTTTATATAAAATAAAAGAAAGTAAAATACACAATCAACAGATGTCCGGAAAGATCAATGGAACAACGGGGACCCATTTCGCCCCCATCATCATAGAGTTCAGGCTAGAGCGGACGCTTTTCTCCGTCCCAGGTCTGGGCCGCCTGTTTTGCGGTCTCATTCCCCCTCTCACTCACTTTCTCGCTCTCTCGCTCTCTCTCTCTCCCCTTTACGGCAGGCCTAGGAAGGCGGAAGCGGCCGCTGCCGGCGGTTGTCAAGGAGGGGTTGGTGGTCTCTCTCTCTCTCCGGGAGGCCGCCTGCGGGGCCTGACTCCATGAAGCGGCAGCCGCCGTGCTGAGGGAGGCGAGGGCCACGGCCACGATGAAGCTGAGCACGCAGGCCTACTGCAAGATGGTGCT